CTTTGTTGGCACAATAATTGTGGTTTCCTTTCATTTCTCCTTGCCAAATACCAATACTTTCCCTCAAGACAAGCAGACCATTTTTTTTTTTTTTTGTTTCTTTTTGAAAGGCAAAATATATATATGTGTGTGTGTGTGTGTGTATCCTGGGCATCTCAAGGAAGCAATAAGATTGTGTGTTTTAAACCTTACAGAAAAGGAGTGAGTATCATCTACATTGGCATTTCCAATTGGAAGAATAGTGTGATTCTTTTCTGCTTCTTTTTTCTGCCAAATTATAATAAGATGTAGCATCTTACATTCTCATATAGAACTAATCTCAAAAGATAGGGCTTCTATTTCAAAATAAGTTATAATTTTAATTTTAACAATTCTTGCTATTGCTGGATCTTGTGGGCAGTTATAACTTTAGTGTGATTTATACTTTGAACTTTCCTTGTTTACAATCCATAAGTTATACCTCATTCATGGAATTACCGGTCATGATAAGCTGTGAGCTACTCTTTATAGAATGTAGAATTGATCTTCTCACTCTTGATGTCAGCATTCCCTCCGTCGTAATGAGCTTAGGCATCTGCTTGCTTTTCTTCCACATTTATTTGATACGTAACATGTTCCTTGCAGAAATATCGCTTTCTCTATGTTTGTTAATTGTATATTGTCTAATTCTCTTTTGTAAATGATTTGTGTTTTTCGTAGCTCCAACCGTGCAGTTGATGTTCAGTACACATTCATCCAAATCTATGGCTGAGAAGTTTACTGGACAGATTTTGCAAGCATTTGAGTCTGTTCTTGGTTCTCCAGTGACAATTGAAATTAGATGTGAAGCAAAGAAAGATCCAATATCTGGGTCCAATCTTCTTGTCCTACAGGCTCCCAGAAATGGTTCATCTCAGATGGCTATGGACCGAGGGTCCAATGCTGAGAGCCAGATGCAGAGGGCAAGGGACAGAGATAATGGGATTCGATCTCAGGCCCAGCTCTTGAACTATGAAACTTTTGAAGGTGGAAGAAGTGAAATTGTAGAAGTTCCAGCTTCCCCCCAGGAACCCAAGAATAATAATGAACATACTGGCAACAATACAGAATCTAATAAAAGAGGTGCATGGTTGGCAAAATCTGTAGTTTCACATAAGCAATCCACTATTGCTGGAAGAAGGAAACCCAGAGAACAAAGCCAGAGTCAGAGCATTGTTAGAAGCAAGGTGTCCCTTGCAGATGTAATCCAGCAGGCAGAAGGATGTACACAACGCAATGCATGGACAAAACGCAAAGCGGTTTCCATTGCTGAAAAGCTTGAACAAGAGAATCTGTACTTATCTTATACTCCCATAAAAATCATTAAAGTTCACTAGAATATTTGAAGAGTTGGATTAACTTTATTTAACTCATATATCCACAGGAGACTGGAGCCTAAATCAAGAAGCTTGCTTTGCTGGAAAGCAACAAGGGTAACTCGTCGAAAGGTAATGTCATCTTATATCAAATTTTCAATACTTAGACATTATCATATGACAATCCCCCATCATATAATTTTTGTGCATCTGCAGCTTTCCAGGTTGAAGATGAGGACGAGAAGACCGCATTCATTGCTGAAGCTTGTTTCCTGTGGAAAGTGTCTCTCTTCTAAATCTCCAAGGTAGTAGGACACGAGAAAAGTATCTAGGTGGGCGCTAGATAGTGGGGGACCTCATTCATATACTCACTGTAATTAGCTATTTTCCTAGCCATTTATAAGGTCAATTCAATCCACCAAATCATTTCATTTTCTCTGAATAAATAGGATAGAAAATATCAGATTAGTGCTAGCTTCTATTAGTGAATTTTTTCCATCAATGTTCATTATATTATCAGGAACTTTCCTTCCTTTCAATTACTACCTGCCTATTTTTCAATTTTCTTGGTTGAATTCAGACAACATGTGAAAACTTTTACTTACAAACAGGTTGACTTATTGTGAAATTTACGAACAGCATATTTATGAATGACTACTAAAAACGAAATTTCAAACTTAAGAACTGACTATCGAACCACCTCCAGCGAAGACATGGTAGATTTGTCAACAATAATAATCATCATCATAATAATAATATAAGAATCAGGTGGAATTGAGTCATGTCGTATGATTAGCTCAAGGTTTTAATTATAAAATGAGTTTTTTATTTTGTAATTTGAATTGTTTTAAACCACATAATAATTAATGATTAAATAAAAAAAAATTAATATTAAAATATTCATCTTTCACCATTCAATACTTTTTAGTATACACTATAATATAATTTAAATTGCATAATAATTTTTCATTATTAAAAGTTTTATGTAGGAATGCAGTTATAATCACTTATTAATTTATTAAAGTCACACAATATTATTTTAAAAAATATTAATTCCATTTAATTGGATTGTAAAAGATAGTAAATGATTAATAAAATAACTTATATTTTAATAAATTAAAATCAATTTATAAACTTGTATTTTGAAATATCATAATTAACTACTTAAAAAATAAATATAAATCAAATTAAACTTAATTTGTGTGATTTTAGCACAATATTAAATAGATATACTATAATTTTTTCTTAAAACTAATAATTTGTTGATTCAAATAAAAAAATTATATTTTTCTTAAATAAAAATTCAAATTTAAATGTTATGATCATTATAAAATTTGATTAGTTTCAACC